CTTATCTTACAACAGCGACTTATAAACATTTACCAAAGACACTATAGTTTTCTTTTTAATTTGTGCATTGGATTTTGTTTTTCACCCTACACTGGAAACGGTACGGGTCTAACTTACTTACTTACTTCTCTACAAAATCAGAGGTTTCGCGACTCTGAATTGCATAGATCAGATATTGCATAGTACAATTCATGTTGGCAATGCATTCTAATTGCTGATCATCTTCATTTATGATGTAGGAAGAAACTTTCAATTCTATTACATAAGAAACATCTTGATGCATAACATTTTGATATAATTGTTGGTAACCGCCGACTCAAACATCTGCAGATCAGAACAAAATTCTATAATAATTATTATTCACTCACTAACCGATTTACCGTTTCAACCAATTGTGTCGAATACAAATGGTTCAGCGCAATCACCCGCAGAATTAATTGATCAATTATTAAAACCACATATCAAAATCCAAGACACATTTGACTTTTGGAACAAACTACCACCGACTATTCATCACGAATCATTACCTCTTTCTTTTGATATTAAGGATCTTTACACTTGCATTCCCCACGATCAGGACTGTACTACTATATCTTTCTGATTACAAAAGCATCCCGGTGTTTTCAATTCGCAGCTCGCGTTTATCCCTTTTCTGAATGGAAAAACATTTGCCCCAGCAGACACTTGACTCCACGGACACTTGCACGCCCGGAAAGTTGCCTCTTCTATAAAAGCGGACACTTGCCTCCGCCAGTTGTGGAAAGCACTTTTCTCTCAACTATTTTCACGAATCATCAACTGTTCTATTGAACACGTGGTCAAAACATGTCCATAGATCTACCCTTTCTTTAGCAACGTTATGTTTTTGTGTTCCATTTCGTCCAGTATGACGAAACTATAGACCTATCCTTTTTCTTACAACATTTCGACGAAACTTGTATGGTGAGAATGAATAAAGTAATATTATCTCCCTCTACAAACATGTCTGTCTGCTATGGAAAATGATGCTGAATGGATAAGAAGACCCGACGGTCCGTGAAAATAATTGAGAGAGAACTGCTGGCCACACTAGGGACAAGTGTCCGCTTTGATCGTCGGAGGGCAACTGTCCTGGAACAAATGCCGGCGATGGCAAATGTCCGTGGGGATAACTGTCCACTGCGAGCAAATGTCCGACGAGCCAAAAGTCCGGGGCGCAAATGTATGGAGGGCACTTTATTGGAGGCAAGTTGTCGTTTATCATTTGGGCTTACTTGCTCCAGACGCAACACATACGTTCAATTTCATACAAACGCACATTTTTGTGTTATACTTTTTAAGTGTTTAGGACATTTCGATGTTTATTCAATTAAGGCAGCGTCTTGAACCTTGGAAACACCTTCTACACACTATTTTATAGCAAGTATCGAATATAGTTTATAATCGTAGTTTATGATGGAGGTACTGTTCGTATGAGAAGTTAGATCATTTAACAGTGAGAATATTTGTTGTCAATTTTTAATAAAATATACTGTCCACACTAAGGGGCAAGTGCCCGCTTTGATCGTCGGAGGGAACTGTCCTAGGAGAATGAGCCGACCCATTCTTGCGTCATTTTGAAGACAAATGTTTGTTGTGGTTGGCTCACGTGCGAAACGCATGACGTAACTTTTCTGAATAATGGAGATGCTGAAGCTAGCGCATTTTGTTCAGTTGTTACTACTAGTTTACTACTAGTTGTTAACTAGTCATTTTTGCCACATCACACCAATGAGGAGGAAATGGGTCTTGCGTCATCTGAAAGAAGTTATATAAACCTGTGCAAAGGGGTAACAAGTAAAGTTCACTGTAATACGCTAATGTACATATCAAAATTTGATAGGTTTTTTCTAGAGAAGCGTACCTAGAGATTTTTACATATTCGGAATGAGCGTGACGTATAAATAGTGCACTGTTTTGCTTAAGTTCTATTTCTTCCAATCTATCAGTTCTTTCGTCTAATGTTCTTTAACTCTTCACATCAACGTTTATCAGCGCTGCATAGTCGACACTTACTGACATTAGGTAAATAACGTTTTAATGTGGTAGTCTGGTTTTTCGAAAATACATCTTCTTACAAGGTTCTTCCAGATGTCTTATTATTCTGGTTAGAAAGGCCTAATTCTTCTATTATATGGTGAAAAGATGTTTTTTAAAATTTATTTTTTACCAGATAGAACATTCGAATATTACGCAGCATTTTTAGTTACTCATATATGGCACAAACAAATAATTTGGGAAAAAGTCATCGAATTATTGTAAAGTATTTTTATTTATATTTCCAGGGTATCGCAGTTATACTTTTCTTCATTTATGAGACTATATTCACAAACTCTGACAGCGGCTGTTTTATGTTTAATTAATAGATTCCACTTATCGACTTCAAAATTGATATGGGACATTCAAATTCGTTCCATATGTTTAATTCTTTCCAAATACAAAAGTGATCGGGTGTGAATCAGTGAGATTAGCGTCAGTGAAATTAGTTTCAAACCGATCAGAAAGGCAAGCAAGTCTATGAGACTAGCGACGAAAATACACCATTCATACATGATTTTATTCTGTTTTCAATTCTCTTTTTAACGGTGGTAGAACGAAGCCCACATCTATTTTCAAACATTAAAATTCATCAATGTGTTCTTAGAGTCAGTTCTATGAGATCTATGGATTGGTTCCGTTAGACTTCCATTTGTGAGAGTTAATGACTAATCGCGCTGTTTACATATACCCAGTTAACTTGCAACTCTTGACTATTGGCATAAAGTTTATATTGGTGCAAAAATAATTTTATCTTAACCAAAATAGTTGGTCTTGATATTATTTGTGATGAGAATAGTCTGAAGCCGATTGCTGTTTATGAATCCTTTTATCACCTAATTAGTGAGTGTCATCAAACAATTTCACATGAAGGACATGACAGGACTTTGAGCGAAATTTCCTGGAACTATAAATGGGTTCTGCGTGAGTTCGTGGAAATCTTTTTAAAACAGTGTGTTGATTGTCAAATGCGTAAACGGTAAAAACACGCATTGTAAGCAAGCCAATTATTTCTTTGGGAGTAATGTCATGATTACAGATTGACTTGATTGTTAAAAGTCGTCCGGATATTGTTTCTACAGATCTCGTTTGTTCATAGATTTTGCACTGCAAAGACCATTTTTCCAAATTTACATGGGTATTTCCATTGAAACTCAAATCACCTGAAGAAGTTGTCATTCATTTACGGATGTTATTTTTTACATTTGGTCCGTGTCGGTTGCTGCATTCTTATAATGGTAGGAAATTTGTGAATAAACTTGTTGTCGATCTAAAAGATCTTTTTCCAAATATGTTCATTGTTCATGGTCGTCCGAGAAATCCAAAATGCCAGGGTTCCGTGGAACGAGCAAATGCGGTTTTGTGCGCATCGCTAGGCAAATGGTTGTCGTCCACCGGCTCATTGCATTAGTTGGATGGTTTGATGCCAGTGGTATACGGGATTAACACAAGGGCCGCTGCAGGTACTAAATGTACTCCATATGAAGTGATGTTGGGTGAAAAAACGCGTTTAGATTGTGTTTTCTGGGACAATATTCGAGTTGATGGCGTTGTTGGACATGACGATCTTCCAAACGAAATACACGAGATGATTCAAAATGCGGAAAATGTCAAAGATGATCAGAATGTAGGGAGTGGCAGTAATTCTGTAGCCCCTGAAGTTATTGCAGATATTGATTCATTGGAGTTTTCATTAAAATTGATTGAAGATTGTTTGTTCGCCAATAATCCTACTTCGTCCAATGGCATTGGTTGAAATAATCTATCCGATGTTGTTAGTATTAACCCAAATCCACTTCCTAACGATCTCAATATTATTTCAAGTACAATTGTTTTTGATTCAAATCAAGGTTCAGATAATTCAGTTGTATTTGCAAGCTCTTCTACATCAGTAGCAAGTCCAAGAATATGTCGTCATACAGAAATTCGGAAATTGGCTGCCGAGAATTATTTAAATGAGGCAAATAAACGTCAGAAAACAACCAAGAAACATGTTTCGTATAGAAGGCACATATATTTTTCTAACATTTTGCAATGTAAACGAATTTACGGTCCGTAATTCTCAATTTTCTCACTCAGAACTCAACTTTTATGCAATAAAGACAACATACTCGGAATCAGGATCAAAAACTGAGTCGATTGATGAGTTTTGCTAGCAAGGCGGAAAAAGCGGAATGTACCATTCCGTATCATTCCATACCATTCCAAAACGCTTTTTCTCCCTTGATTTCTAGACTATCCGACTACTATGATTCTTTCTAGTTTTCATATTAATTTTTAACTTTAGGTGAAAATCTCAGTAATTTTTTAATGTAAAAATTCGAAAAAAGATCAAAGTAGTCGGATAGGCTAGAAATACATATCAATCAACTCGGTATTTGATCCTGATTCCGAATATGTTAGTTTTATTGCATAAAAGTTCAGTTCTGAGTGAGAAAATTGAGAACTTTTTTAAAGCTGATGAGAAAATTTTAA